ACAGTTACTGGGGGGCGGGGGGAGGTGGGCGGCGCAGCGCCGAGAACAGGTCAAAGCAGGAGGGGGTATTTTCGAAACTGGAAGAAAACATTAAACAAGCGTTTCGAATTATACACGACTGGAGTATTAGTCTGTGCTTAATCAAAGTACATTTATTCGATTTGTTCGATCAAGTATTTCATTAAAATTTATTTTTTAAAGTGAAAACAAAAAGAATACAAATTAGCTAAATTCTACGACCAGTTTTGTTTTTTACACGTTTTTTGGCTAATTCATTATTACTTAGTTCATCTAAAATTAATGTTTCTAATGTACATAACAACAAAGAATTTAATCTTTCATCATTCATTTTAGTTCTTAATCTGTTTTTTACAATTTTCATTTTTCTGAACGATCTCTCTACACTAGCAACAGTCACAGGCATAGTTAAAAGATATTCATATGCTTGACATAATAAAGGTATATATAATTTTCGATAATGAACAAATTCGTTAACAGCAGTAATTGTATCACGTTCACATATTTCTGCTTTATATAACTGAACTTCATTCATTATAAAATAAATTAGCATCATGAATTTGTATCATTTTACAGATATTCTCGGCGTCTTTTTCAGCGAAGTTGATGATGTATTTGGGAGGTATTTTTGTTATTGATTGAACATTTGAATCAATCGATCCTAAAACTTGCTTATATTCTGTAATTAATTGATCGAAGACTTGTCGGAAAATTGCTCGATAATATTGTGAACTAAGTAAGTAAAAACTTGCGAATAAATATTAGATAATAGTAGTCTTTTCAAGAAAAAATATGTTAGTTAAGATCGAGAATATTTATTTAACTAAGATTACATACCGTGTAAATTGATATGTTGTTTGTGGATTATCATCAAGTCTTTTTAGAGGTTTTCTTCTTCGATGCTTACGATTAAATTCAGATTGAGGAACAATGGCATATTTTTTTGCCATTTTTTCACTAATTATGATTGTTTTTCAAGTTAATCTCATTAGAACGTTCAGTTTCCAAAAGTTTTGTTGCTTGAGTTAATAATTCACCAGCTGTTATCAAATCTAATTTTTCAGCTTGAAATTTTGTTGTGATGCTATTGGTCATGGACATTAAATTTTTCATAAAGATTAGATATGTGAAGAGATTGAATGCTTTTATACTAGTACTAATTGAATTAGCTTGTCGTCGATATTCTTGATCAAAATTAATATGATCATCAGTTATCATATCTAATGCTTGAAGTATTTCTTCGATTGATTCGTAAATGGATCTAATTGATTGAAATTTAGTATTCAACCTAATTGATGTTGTTGTTTTTGGTGTTAATGCAAATATATTTGATGAAGTTGTATCATCAAGTACAGATAATCTAAAGAAAATAAAAAAGTTTCTGTCATAGAGAGAGCTGATGTTTTTCAAATAAAGCAATTCTACCTTTTTGTGCTTGAAGTGAAAAACACATATATACTTTGAAGTACCCTGAAGAAACAATCAATATCCAAATGAACGAGAGATGTATGCTTAACAACTGTATTAGAACGATGGGACGAACATGAGATATATTATACGTCACGTTTTTATTTTTCACTAATTTTTGCTTGAACACCATTAAACTCACCACACATATTGTTAGCACAATAACATGATTGAGCAACTAATTTTGTTTTATCCAATTCAAGTTCGTTTAATACTTCTAATATATGATTTGCGATTGCATCACCCGAAAACACAAAAGAAGAAGGCTAAGATATTTAGAATCTTTAACAGAAAAATCTGTTTGAAAACTATTATAGAAAATGTCGCATTTTTTAGTTAGTTTCGAAATAGTAGACTGTCGTCTTATATGTTTTTTAGAAAGCATACTTCTTCATTCTTTATTTATCAAGTATTAATTTGAATTTTTTGTTCGATTATGAATTTGATCGACTCTAATTTCTAAAGCATTTCACCTGTTTTCAAATGAACTTGTTTAATTGAAACAAATCTTTCTTCAGGTGATCCATATTCATTCACGAATCGAATAAATATTGATAATATATCTTGCCAATTAGAATCTAATGATGCATCAGCAATAACCGAATAATAACGAGCTTTACGTATATTAAATAAATTCTTATGTTGTGCACAATCAGCCAACAATGGTATGAACTCGTTTTAAGAATCTTTACTCATATAAGTAATCTAAAAGAAACATATTTTTCAGTTTACTCATATAGTGCCATATTTACTTTGTATGGACGATTGTTGTTGCTCTTTATTCATTGTTCTAATACCGGATTATGCTTTGATAATAAGTAAACCAGTTGATGAAAATTACCATCATTATCTACATGTCCACGAAAAGGTAAATCTTGACGTGCTAAAAACCGAACACAATGAATTAATATTTTGATGATTTCTTCATTAGATTTCTTTTCAATTTTTTGTTGTTGCTGATGCTGTATGGTTTTATCTAACGTGTAATCAACATTATTTTTACGTTGTTTAAGGCCCCCCCCCCCTCAGAAATGAATTCCCACGTAGTATGGGTATTTTGAGCTGAAAATTTCAGGGATGAGTGATCCTGGAGAGATATGCTCCTGGTAAAAATTTCGGCCCGATTGGTTTTACTAGACCGGAGTTTCAGCTGAATCATAGGTCATTTTTGACCTTCAGGAGAATCGATATAACTTCCTCATAACACGAGGTATTGAGCTCGGGCTGGCCTTAAATTAAAGCTAACGTCAGTACGCAACTTTTATCTGAACAGAATTTTTAAATTCAATCTTATTGATTTTTTATGACCATTTTAGTGGAAGGGTCTAACAATTAGTATAAAAAATGGTGATCGAACGACAGTAAATTCCACTTTTCTCATCACAAGAATCGACTTTAAAAAAACTGGTCGGACAAAAGTTTAGTCTCATTGAGACCTTTAAAACAAAAAAAATATTGTATATAGCGCGATCCGAGAGGGAGTTATTTCAATTTTCCTGTGTGGAAACCATGTTTTGAGAAGACCTCTAAAGAAATTTTAGAAATGGATTTTTCATTTAAATGCAGGAAATAATGGTATAATGATAATATTTATGTGAAATTTTTGAAAGCACACAATAGATGGCGAAAGCTAGCACTACAGGTCGTACTATATGATATAAGAATGTTGATTCCATGCTGATAGAAGTAAAAAGAGTAGTCTTCCAAAAAATAACAAAAACCGCGAAAATCTCTCCGAAAACCGGGTAGTGAGGTGAAAATCTCCTACGAAAGTGTGTAAGAATTTGACCTTTTTTAAAAATTTATATATATTCTGAAAGAGGAAACTTTGCTGCATCTTTCTATAATAAAAACTCGACTTCGATTACTTTACCAAAAAATGGCTTTTCTGAGGGGGGGGGGGCGCCTTAAAAATTGTATAACGTTGTCATGAAGATTCGTGAATTGTACTTGAATTATGAACGTATATTTTCCCCTTTTTTCCGGCTTCTTGACTACCTAAAATAAGTAAAAACTCGGCAGTAAAGTTAAATAATTAATTGTTGTACAAGCTAAAATCAAAAACCTTTTATTTTATTTCATGTTCTAATACCGGTTGAAACCCAAGCATCTTCTGATTGACCATGACCACGACTAAAAAGTCGACAAGAAAAACAATATATTGCATCAGTTGATGGACTGCATTCGATTAAAGGAAACTCTTTATACCACTTCGGAACAAAACGGCATGCATCATTAATTTTTCTTAATGATTCATTAACTGGATATTGTGATATTTACAGGTTGATACGGACCTTGATCAACTAAGTAACGTAATTCTAATTCATTATAAACTTTTATTGTAGATGGATCACGAAACACAACTACTTCAGTTGATTTTATTTCATCAAAAGTTGTGGAAATGAATGGAATTTTATCTAGTGCTGAATCACAAATGATTATCAAATCAAATATTGATTGTTTTAATTTAATGAGAGATGACTTCGTTTCGATTAAAAAATTTTTCATACTGATATTTTCATTGAAGATTGTATGAATGTTTGTAGAAAAAAGTTGAGTTTGTTTAAACAAATACTGAATTTCACCACAAACTTGGTTTTTTATTTGAACATTGGTTTGAAAACAATCTACCAATTCATCATCATTAGGTATCATGACAACTGATAATAATGAATGTTCATCATCAACTAGTGATTCACTTGTTACGTATGACGATGGTAATGGTAAAGAATCGTTTGTTGTTCTTGTTGTTGATGAACTATTTGATACTTTTGTTGATGATAAACCATTTGTTTCAGGTGCTAATAAAAATTTAGTTATTGTCGTTGGTACTGAATTATTTGTTGATCGTGCTGATGGTGTAGGTATTGATTGATTTGTTTCACGTGCTGATGACATTCGGAATCTTTCGTTTGTTGTTGCTGGTGGTAAGGATTTCCTCGAAGTTGTTAATACTAGAAGTAAAATATTAACTGATGACTTCTTAAATAAGTTATATCGCGTGATGTTAATCGTTGTTTACCCTGACTATTAATAGTTTCTTTGAATTTTACAAATAAGTTATCGTATTTTTCTTTGGTGTTTACGCTGCTATTCTAGGTCTTACAATGACGATTAACATGTTTAAAAATGATAGTTTTAAAACAGAATGGACATCTACCAGGAGAACTACTAGACATTTTATTTATTAATCTAAAACTATAAGTATATTACTTTTTTACAAGTACTTGTTATATCTTAGATAGAGCAAAAACTTTAAAAAACAGACGAAAGCTATGACGGACTTACCGTATGAGTCATCTGACAAGTATAGCACTGAATGTGATCAGATCATTATTTGATGATATTCACGCCAATGGATAATCAAATTTATCTTAGCCAATAACATGATTCTTAATAAACATATGACTAACCTATACATTTACTGGAAAGACTCACTGTAAATTGAGACACATGTAAGATCTATGATTATTAGATATTAGAAAGGAGTTATACATGTTTTATATGATATACTTTTTCTTCCTTTTATCTTTCGATGTTTGAATTTTTCATTCAGAAAAACAAAATGATATGCTTCGTTCGGGAATCGAACCCAAGACATGATAGCTGGTTAACCGGACCAGTGCTCTTACCATTGAGCTAACGAAACACGACTAACATATCATTTTTGTTTTTCTGAATGAAAATTCAAACATCGAAAGATAAAAGGAAGAAAAAGTATATCATATAAAACATGTATAACTCCTTTCTAATATCTAATAATCATATTCACCCTCGAAAGAGGAGAATTAAAAACATCATTTACATTTGGTTAAAAATAGTAGTCACTATATCCAAGTGCGTCGTACACAGCGTGCCGACGTTAAGATTTCGATGTTTGAATTTTCATTCAGAAAAACAAAAATGATATGTTAGTCGTGTTTCGTTAGCTCAATGGTAAGAGCAGTGGTCCGGTTAACCAGCTATCATGTCTTGGGTTCGATTCCCGAACGAAGCATATCCATTTTGTTTTTCTGAATGAAAAATTCAAACATCGAAAGATAAAAGGAAGAAAAAGTATATCATATAAAACATGTAAGATCTATATGTCAATTTTTTCCTATAATTAGCTAATTTGAATATTATCAGTTTATACGACGCGAAATAAAAAGGAGAATATTTTCATTTTACTCAACGTAAAATAAAGAAGTAGCCATATAATTTTCAGAATCTAAGAAAACTTAAAATATTTTTTCGAAACTGGAGAAAAGTTCATCTGCAATTTTGCAGAAATAAGAAAATATTATCCTTGATTTTTCAAATTCTGGGGGTACTCTCTCCCAACCCCTCCCTCGTTCGCGCTGCTCCTGAGTAGTGTCATGGTTTTATTTAACGCGTAGAGCGACCCATATATCTTCCAATAATTTTGCCGTCTCACCGAAGTCCTTGCATTTACCATCACCAAGACCAGTAAAATCACCCGACGGGGCACAAATACAATTGCATTCGCCATCATAAAGATAGTTCATTAGATCGCAACAGCCACTTGTACCCAGATAAGTCACCTTGCCACGAAATATATAAATGTCAATGGTCGTATAAGGACTCCATCTATTGTCGGCGCCAGAATTAAATAGGGGTGGGTGTAAGCTCAATAACTCGACAACCGCAATAGCTAGCGATCTGCGGTTTTCGTCAATCGAAAGAGGAGGAGTTGGGACGTCTTTTTC